GGATACGAGTCATTCGGATTCATTAATGAAAACTCTAGTGATTACATGGCAGTAAATGATTTCATTCTCAGCAATTACAGGTTCCGGTGAATCGAAAGATAAGCTCGGTAATCTCGATGCACGACTTGATCCAAAACGAACATGCTTTTCGATAATGACAATTTGGTTGGTCGTCTGCTAATGATCTACTAATTTGATCATAGATTGCCTCACATTCATGAATTCAATCATTTCTAAGCTGTAATATTTCATAAAGTCGTTGTACAGGCTTGATAAAGCAAGTATCGATGTGATGACCGGTGTATATTGCTGTTCACCACAAACACAACCGCAACGAAGAGCCGAATTGTTGAGTAGGTTTCTAATGATGGCGAGACTCGCAGCTACTGAGCACACCAGAGGCAATCTCATTGTGTTCGTAAGTTTCAGCTGCTTCCACTGAGCGATTCAAAGAAAATTACTAAATAATTGACGCAAAATACAATGAATTCTTAATATGACATCGCATTAAGACTTCACCTGGAATGACCACGAACAGGTGTCAATACGAGGAAATTCTCCAAACAATCGCTAAAATCAACCTAAATATGGCTCAAGAGTGTTATATAGCTGAAGGAGGATGTTTTGTCACATTCGAATCACCGCTTGCTCAGTTCAGGTACGATTGTGTTTCTAATTTAGTCACACTTTGAGTTGTACTGTCGTTTTAATCTCATTCTGAGGTGTATTGTCAATGAATGTCAAAAGGATTAGGCNTATCTTTTGAGCAATTCAAATTGCTCAGTATAATGATTACTCGGTAATCGTTCTCGATTCAATGAGATCATCGTTTCATTTGAAAAAAATGCAAGTGAATCATAAGTGCTACATGCAATGAATCAAAGCTAAATAACTTCAGGTTAAATGATATCAGAGCGATTGACATGAGCTTAAGCGTCCGAAAGAATCTCTTGAAGGTAGAACAGTTCTTCTTTTTTTATGACCTTCTCAAATTCAAATCAGGAGAAAACAATTCAAATTTCGGTGAACGATTGGCCTTATTGTTAGAATTGAAGCGATCAGTGAAAACTGATAAAATTTCATGAGGTAGGAAAAATAGCAAAGAATTGTTTCCTATGCACAGATACAAAACATCTCATCTTATCGGTTCGGTTTTCCAGGTTGGAATAGAAGTTCCGTTCGATGACGAGGAATTATGTGACTATTTCGATAAGCAGCCACTGTATTTCTCGTTAGCAGTAAGGAAAGATGTGCTCTTCAACGAAAACTCAAAAATGAATGCTCCATCATCAGAACAACTCAGATTACGGGTAAATTATTCTNTTGGCCTCATGATCTCAGTTGCTTTTGCAGAACACCGGAAATATAATAGTTTGAGTGAGCCATTATGAAACCTATTCAGTGATGACTTACATGCAAAACTGAATATCTTCAGTCGTCAAATGGACAGTAATGTGGGATTTTTGAACTGAAATTTCGAATTCCAAATAAAATCTGCGCTATATGGTGAATGTTTCAGTTAAATGAACTATATCTGGAGAGGAAACTGGATACGATGCAAACGTCACGAACGGATGTACTTCTATCGCCGCTCGGTAAATCGCTTCCAATGCGAATATCCGACAAAAATGAAACGCACGAAGTTGTCTCGAACGGAACGAATGCTTGTAAATCAGACCATTTTGCATGGCGACCTCACGATGCTCTAGTGTCAGCGACTGATTCGGCCCAATCACATGACAGCAATCCGATGTCCGCAATGAATTCGAACTCAGATTCCATTGATCATTTCAACAACAACAACGTCAGAATACATGAGAGTCCAAGTTTGGACAGTTCACGAAAAGATAAGCATCCACAGGCGACAAAATCACCAACTAAAACAACTGCATCGCCTTCCTACGAGATGCGACGAAGTATCACTCAACCGTTAT